AGAGTAATATTGGAATTTTTTGCTTGATAAGGATGATTGCTAGCATTGCATATTACTGGTCATCTACGATGATTGCTAACATTGCATATTATTGGTCATCTATGATGACTGCTAGCATTGCATATTATTGGTCATCTATGATGATTGCTAGCATTGCATATTATTGGTCATCTACGATGATTGCTAGCATTGTATATTATTGGTCATCTACGATGATTGCTAGCATTGCATATTATTGGCCATCTATGATGATTGCTAGCATTGCATATTATCGGTCAGTTGTGATTTTACAACTGATCGAGCATTTCTTTTGAACAACCGATTTCAGTAATACTGATTGTCAGCAGTGCACTCTGTCAATCATATGTGAATTAACATCTAGCTGTCCAGTTGCAAATTTATATCATCTTCTGCAACTATTCTCATAATATCACTTGAAAAAGAAGCAGGAAAAAAGGAATTGAAATTTGCTTAGCATTGTTCCTCAATGTTTTTAATTTATTTATCAGTAGACCAAAATGATAAATGATAAAATCCCATTTGAAATTAACCACTCATAATTTCCATCAATATATATCAATTAATTTAACTCCTTGACTATTGTCCATTAGCAAAATTTAGCATCTTTTGTTCTCATACGAAATATGCTAAATATTACAATTTTTTTTAGTGATTTTTATTTATCAAAAGAAAAATTTATTTATTTAATCAGTTCATTAGACTATCAGTCTGTTTTGTCTAGCCATATCTATTTTCCTTCATGCTTGCCTTATCAGTTGATAAAATTAGGGCAAGATCAATGATCTTTGATAATGTAATCGTTTCTTCATTGCATATATTCATTTCTTTTTATTTATTCATGCTGATTTATCTTTTTAACATATCTATTTCTTGTAATTAATTCTAGCAGAAATAGATCAAAGATGTTAGCCATCAATTATAATTATATCATTATATATACATATATGTATATATATATATATATATATCAAGCCATTAATTACCAGTGCACATGAACCAATACAAAATGATAATACAGATGTGTTACACAATGTAATCACTTAATTTTAATCACTTTAATTGAAAAGAATCAATCGATAATTTAATCAATTCATTGATCAATCTAATTCAGCCGATTGATCAATTTGATATAATTTAAAATTTTTGCAAATTTCTATGATAATCCAAATAGAATGAAAAAAATGATAAAATTACTAAATGGAATTGTATTTGCTTTTGATGAAATTTTATTCCTCCTTGATTTAATTGTTGTACCTTTTTCAGCAATATTATCACAACCTGCATCACAACGTATCACACCTGCTTGAACATTCATATCATTGCAAATACATTTCGCTACATCACCACAAAATTGTGCACGATATTGAACAAGCTGGAAAATATTAGCTTTTTTTTTTTCATAATTTAAATACAATAATTTAATACCATTATATGGTATTCAAATTTAATTCTTTATTTAAAAAGGATAAAAAAAAACTATAAGTATTATTTGCAGATATATATATTTAATGACAAGCTTAAACAATTGTCAACTATAGTGAGTTGTAAAATATTGATAATTTTAATAATTTAAATATTCAATTTAATTTTATTACATAATTTATCTAGTAAACAGTTGCAATATAAGCTAAAATACTCAGTTATGAATTGAAAAATATTAAATGTAATTGGATTTAAAAAAATGTAATCGATCGAAAAAAAAATTGCAATTTCGAAAATTAATTAAAATTAGTTTAATTCCATCATATAGTTTCATTATTAAACATGTTTAAATTTTATTTTAAGCTATAAAATATTAATTATAATATTGCAGGCTAAAAAAAATTATAATTTAACCGATTCAAGTAACAATTTTAATTCCATTATATGATTTCAATATTGATTACTGCAAAAATTCCAAATCCAATACTATCGTGTATGCTTATTACCTTCCTTAGAATTAACTTGAAACGATGACATAGGTTGATTTTATCAATAAAGCCTGATAAGCTTATTTTCTTTGCTATTTTCACCAATTTCAAATAGTTTCCATGCTCTTCCTGTCGTCCCTCAATAGTTAGCATTTGTTGACATTTCATGCGACTTTCATGTGAGCATGTTTGTGAGCATAGCTAAATAATTAATAGTAATTAGTGACAATTAATTTGATGCGAAATTTTACTTGAAAAGAAAAAAAGTTTTCATTCTAAATTCATATTAATTTTCATATTCTATGGTTATTTCAAAAGTACGTAATAATAAGTGGAAGTAAAATGAAAAAAAAAAGTGTACGGGTGTAGAAAAAAAAGTAATTAAAAATAATAATTGACATTGGCAACAGTAGTACAGTAAATAGAATATAGTAGTGCAGTAAATATAGTAGTTCGGTAGTACAATATAGAAGAACAAATACGGTAGAAATAAGCAAATAAATTCATTTTAAAACATGTAAATATGAATGCAATGATCAAACATAACATGAATACAATCGTAAAATATTAATTTGGATATTAAATTTAATTCTATTACAATTTCTAATTCAAAGTGAACAGTTATGAGCTAAAGGTTATAAATTAAAAAGGTTAAAAGGTTAAAAAGCCGGTTATAAATTTAAAAAAATATTTAATGTAATATAACAGACTAAATAAAAAAAAATTTTGACAAACATTCATCACTTTGATCAATGAGCGTTAATTGATTTGTGTAAAATGAAATGAATTAATAAATTATAAAGACAAAAGAATGAATTATGTTATTGAATTGTATCTTTTATTTTTTAAATCTTTTTAAGAGAAAATCATTAAACTAATAAGTCAAACATATTAAATAATCCATGCACATTTACATTACTTAATTAGAAAAGCAAACGGAATCAACATATATGTGCTATTAAAAATTATACACAGAAAATTGTAATTAGACTAATTAAAGTATTTTAATTGCAATCTTTATTCAAAATTTTTTATAGCTTATTTTTAGAAAACTAGCAAATAAATAAATTAAATTTAAAAAGTATAAAGAGACGAATTAAATTGAAAAAATGCAGAAAGAAAAGAAATCCAAGTATTTGTATAATTTTTATAAAATAGGATTGTAAAGAAAAACGAACTTTAGAAATCCATCAGATATAATGTAAATATTAATAATTAAATATTAATAATCTTTTTTTCCATTATTCATTTTTTCGATTTGCCATTTTTCCACGAATTAAATTGGAAAGTTATTTGAGTTATAAAATTGAAAAAGAATAAAAGGAAAATTATTTTAAATTATTAACAAACATATTCAAATAGGTAAAATAATTTCGATTCCATTGTAACAAAATGTAATTTTTTATGCGTTTCTTTGAAATTTTTAAAATTTAATTATAAAACATGTTACAAACAATTCATTGTTGAGTAAATTTTGATAAATGACTAATTACTGTCATTTTCATAAGTAAACTTACTGATAAGTGATAATAAAACATTTCTGTACAACAGATCAACAGATATCCTTGCATTCATCGTTTTACAAGGAAGCGCAATTATCCGAAGGATTGTTGTAATTGAAATAATTAAATTAGACCAACAATAAAAATGTATTTTTCTAATTTTTAAAAATAACAAAAATCTTACTCGTAGAGCATATCCTCGATGCGCTAAAAACATTTGTAAGGGTAAAATGCGTCCATGAATTTGATTAAATACAATTGATGCAATCTGTAAATGTATAATTACAATCAAAAAAAAAAAAAGAAAGCGCAAAAATTATTGAAGTCAGAATTAAAATCAAAATGAAATTTCGAAAAATCTAAAAAGGTTATTACAAACACAAGAAAAATTACAATGAAATTGAAAGAAATTTTGAAAAATCAAAAAAAAAATATCACAAAAATTTTGGAAATTCAAAAGATGTTAAAATTTTTATGCAAAAAAAATTCATACCTAAATTTTATGTATGCATTTTATACCTAAAACGGAAAATGAAAAATTAGCAAATTTCTTGAAATTATTATTAAAATTTTAACATTTACATTTAAAATTCCTAGTATATTTGCTTACAAAAATAAAAAAAAAGAAAGAAATTATTGATTTACATGTGCCATATAATCATCTTGGCATCCATCATTATTAAAGCATGATAAATAATGTCGATTTGCTGCACAGAGATGTTGATTTTTTGGCATCATAACGTGTGTTACGCTTCGTAACGAACATCGATGACGTGTCCTTAACGTCAACATTTCCGATGATGATTCACTTTGATCGTTGTCAACATTTCGTCTAATACGCATTGTCTAAAAAGACGTATTAACTTCATTTTCCTTTTCCTATAATCTATCTTTTAAGATTTGTGAAAATAAAAAGAAAAAAAAAGAAAAAAGTTGGAAAATACTTTGAAAAAAAAATTTTGATAAATCATCTAAATTACATTTGAAAAATTTTTATAAAAATAACTAAAAATTTTAATGATCAAATTTTTTTTGAAAAAATTTTTTTTCAAAATTTTTTAAAAAAACATGAAATTCTTTCTTTAAATTTTTCAATTTATTTCCTTCTCTTTAATATTCATCATTGCTACATTTAACATTGCCATATTTTAATTCTTAATTAAAAAGTTAGAAAAAATAAATGTAATTCAAAATAAACTTCAAGAACTTGAAAAGAAAAAAGAATTAAGCATTTAATATGCTAAAATACCTGAAAAGCAGTTTCGAAACATTGTTCAAGTTTTAAACGATTGCAATGACTTTTATCGGCATTAGATCCAAAGGAGAATGCCGTAGTAGGTAATAGTGATAGTAACAGCAATGGGAATGTATTAGTTGTTACTGTAATTATCGTATTCATTTGCGTGTCGCATAATCACTTCATCATTATCTTTCTTATCACACCAATCATTATTTAAATCAATGATGGGCAATTTCTGATAAAATCTAAAATAAACCATTATGATTTTGAAAATTTTAAAGTGACAAACATTTAAGGTAATATGACAACTAATTTTGTTTGAAACAAAAATTCATTTAATTGATTACTGTAGACGAATTCACTTTTGATTATTACAAAAACACGCACACGTACCAGAAGTATATATATATATATATATATTTACATCACATGGGACATTACCGTAGCTTGGACACGTACTTGGACGCGTTACCATAATTTCAGGGAAGGAATAGTTTAACGGATTAAGATTTTAAAAAACGTCTGAAAATGGCACTATTATGTGAAGTTGTTTGTATTACAAAAAGTAAGAAGACCGATATCACACTTTGGATGATAACGCAAAAATATATGTAAATGATGTACATATTTCCTGTGAATACGATAAATACAGTATGCAATATGAATATCATTGCCTAAGGGAGCTTTAGGACTATTGTACACTTGATGATGATGATGTAGAAGACATATGTAGATGATACATACGTTTCTTGTGCACATGGTGCATACACTAAATGTGAAATAGTTTGTCCTGAGAAAACCTTAGAACTATCGTAACTTTACAACTACAAACTGTCGTTTTGAAGATGACGTAGAAGACACTTGTAAATGATATACATATTTCCTCTGTATACGGTATATACAGTATGCAATATGAAATATCACCGTAACATAAAGGAATTTTAAGATGGATTAGAAAGATTACAATGTAAGTATATCTAAAAATGATTTTCTTATTTGAATTTCGATTATACTTATCTCGTTAATGATTATAAAACAAGGAAGAACAGGAATGGAATGATAACGGTACTATGAAATAAGCAAAATTGATAACAGTTTTTTTTTCAAAAGGCAAAAAGTTTGAAATGCATTTTGAAAAGTGATTTGAAATTTTGAAATATTTTTCAATTCAAATATGATCCCATTTTTATATAAATGAATTAGGCAAGAAGGTGAAAAGGAGATTTTATATCAAAATTAACTGAAATTGTTGATAAAGTGAAATTTGATAGTAATGGAAATTTTTAGCACCATGTTAAGTTTTTAAGATTTTTTTCAAATAAAAAAAACTCAATTCATTTTTTCCAATTTAAATTTCAATAAAATGCTCGCAAAAAATTCACAAATGAAAATTTATTATTTAATTTCAAAATTATTTTTTGAAAAAACTTTGCAATTAAAGCAAAAAAAAATTTGTCAGAATGAAAGATGATATTAATGCAATGAACAGGACTTAATGATCTTTAACCCTTTATATAATTTTCTTTTTTTCTCGATTTGGTCTAATTTTTCTTTTCTATTCAACCAGACAGATTTCCCGCCCTGTTCATTAATAATTGAATGAATTCTACCACAAAAATCATCAAATTTAGTGGAAATAATTAATTTCATTTTGATGATTATTATCTTTGCCAAGCATGCGATTGTAAATAAAATTTGAATTCAATTCAAATATTTCCCACGAAAAAAATCAATTATTAAAAGAGTAGGAAAAAAGGTTTTTTTTCCTTCTTTCAATTTTATTTCCATTGTTATGAAATTCAAGCCTGAACTGATTCATTTTTTTAATACGAATTTGAGCTTTTACTAATTTGATTTTATTAATTTGTGATTAAATTTGCCGTTAAATTTAATTACATTTAACTCATTTGAAACTATCAAATTTAGCTTATTTTGATTATTTCAATGCAAACTTGAACTTTATCAAATTCGATTTTTGTTTACTAGATCAAAATTAATTTAAAACTATTACATTTTCATTTCATTTATTAGGATAAATTTTATTCAAATTAATTCATTTTAATTAGCTTTGAAAAAAAAAAAACAAGTCCTATGATTATTTTTTCATATAGCAATCGTATGATTTTATTTCAGCTTATTACATTTCAATTTAGTAACTCGCATGATTTCTATTCAATTCCCTAACTATTTCTTTATTAACTTTTGATTTACGCTAATCAATTTATTTCACATTTTACAATGTCAATCAAAAAAGCGAAACTCATACTTTTTAATCGATAACTGCAAATAATAAATTTTAAATGAAATTTAGAAATAATAAATTTTAAATAAAACTTAGAAATAAAATATTAAATAGTAAATTCCAAACGAAACTTAGTTTTTTAAATGAAATTTAGAAACAATAAATTTTTAATTGAAAATAGGCGACGCATACTTTTTAATATATTCTCGCCCTTTGTCTTGATCATTTTTGTTTGCTTTTACTTATACAAACCAAATTTGATATCATAAGAAATAAAAAGAGAAAAAAAAACCTAGATGAAATAAAATTGAAAAAAAAAGTACGAAGTTAGAGGAGAATGAATGATTAATAATTAAAAGAAGATAGATAAAAAGGGAATTAATTAATAATTAGTATGAATTTCTTCGTGGTATTTCAAATTCATTTGAATTACTTGAATATAGTATATATAGAAGCGCTTTTGTCGCATTTTAGGCCGCATTATTTCTATTATTTCTGCTATTAAGTTTTACATTCGGGAAAAAAAAGAAACCAAAAAAAAACTTTTGTTGTAAAAACTGCTTCAATTTGTTACACATTAATAATTAGCAATAATAATTAGCTTCTCAAAATAATTACCTTCTCAAATCAAATATTCATATCAAATATGATTTTTTTAAGATGATTATTCCGTGAACGATATACTAAATTTAAACTACAAACTGTATTTTAGTTTGAAAAAAAAGGATAAAAATAAAATTAATTAAAAAATATTCTGAGAAGAAAATGGAAAAATACGAGAGAAGAAACATAAAGTTTAGTTAATGAATTGAAAATAAATTACGAGTGGAACTTTCCTACCTAGCTCAAATTCAACAAATTTGAAATTTGAAAATTTCTTCTTCCTTTCCAAAACTTTTCCACTTTTTCATTTATCAATTTTCTCATGATTGTGATTGAAAAGTTGTAATGTGCAATGTTATAAACTTAAATTTAAAAAAAAATCGAAAAATGAAATCTGAAAAAAAACAAATCAATGATTAAATAATCGAATTTTTTTTTTTTCAAAAAATTATTTCGATTTTCTTTCCATTTGTTTTTCGCCTCATTCAAATTTTTTTTTCGAATTATTTTTTTCCAAACTTCATTTTTAAAGAAAAAGAAAAAGAACTACATGATGAAGAAGAAATTTCATTTCAATATCATACTTCATGTTAATTCATTTTGTATCATTACTTATTTGCTTTTTTTTCTTTATCTGTGTAAAATTGGGTTAGCTTAATTTTGATCTTAAAAATTTGAATATTTAAATTTAATTAAATTTAAGGAAAAAAAAGGTTGGAAATGGAAATTCCTGGAAAAAAAAGGAAAAAATCTGAGAAGGATTATTTAAACAATTTTTTTTTTTTGAATGCAAATATAGAAAATCTTGTGATAAAATATTCAGCTTAAGTTGACATATTTTAAAGTTGAATAGAAAAAAAAAGAACATTCATGCAAAAGATGTCACTAATATGTCACCAACATGTCACTAATCGTAAGGTTGACAAAAAGTGTGAAAGCAAGTATTTATTGCTCGAAAAATTTTGAATGTATTTAAATATTTTTAATTTTTATGAATTATTTTTCTTTTCAATTTCGCTTTTTGACATTATATCAATATTTTTTATTTGTTTTATTTTTCCCATAAAATTACGATATTTTTATCATAATTTTTAAAAAAAGGAAGGAAAGAAAAAATCAATGCAGCATTCATCATTCATTCATTAATATCATTCATACAAGACAGAAATTATAAAAATTTAAATTTTTTAAAAGATTTGAAAAAAAACACACAAAGAGCATCCTAATTCAAATCTTTTAAAAATCACGTTTATGTATTTATTTTCAATTTTAAATGTGCTAAATTAATTTGAACTGTTTGAAAAATTTTAAAAATTGAAAGAACGTGCCACTTTTAAGGGGGAAAAAAAACGTTACAATTTTTGTGAAACCACTAGATACTAATTAAACTTAAAAATAAAAAAGAAAATTGAAAATGCTATATTTGTTAAAATTTCTTAAGGACAAAGAACTTCCTAAAGATTTAAGGATTGAATAAATTGGAGATTTATGCAAATTTAAATTTTTTAAAGACTTTTTTAAAAAAGTTCAAAAATCATTTTAATTCAAGTTTTTTAAAACTTCTGTAGCTGTAAATGCAAGATAAGCCATATATATGTGTGTTATTTTTGTTTTCCCTTCAGTATTCATATTTATATATATATATACATTTGCAATGTAATAAAACAAAACTAAAAATTGTTAGCTATCATTCACTCGGTTAATTTAAAATATTAATGAAGGGAATTTTTGAACAAAAAACAACCATGCAAAAGATGTCACCAAAATGTCACCAATCATAACATCTTTAAGTTCTTGCATTTAAATATTATAGCTGAATTATTATCAGGTTTCATGCAGGTTAACGAAATGCTTTCCTTTTCATCTTTTCTTATTTATTAATTTTTTTTTTTATTGTTCCATTGTTATTTTTAATGTCATCGTCTTTTTTTTTAAATCAAAAAAATTTTTTTCCTAATTTACTAAAAAACCTTTCTTATAAAAAAACTTTCATTTTTCAAAAAAATTTCTTATAAGTTATCCGAAAAAAAAAATAATTACGTCATCATTATGTTTGTAATACTAAAAATTATGATAAAAAACATTTCATTTTCATGATCTAATTTCATTAATCGAATTTATTCCCTTTTACCGGTTAACCACTTCTTTCCTAACAGATATTTTATTTGCATGATCCGGTTTAACGGATCGAATTTGCACATTTGTCGGTTAAAGTCTTCCTTTTTCCGTCATTGCAACTCTATGATTCAAAAATCATGATTGTATCGATAATGAAAGCCTATTTATTATATTTTCAGTCTATTTTTAGCGATGG